GTCAGCGGTCGGCTTGCGAGAGTCAGTGGTACCTGCCAGTAGCCATTCCGTAAATCTAAGGTTGATAAAAATTGTGCCCCGCGTAATTTATCCAGAGTGGCCATGATCTGTGGAAGCGGGTACGCGTCTCGCTCGGTGACTTCATTTAAGCGTCGGAAATCTATGCAAAACTGCGGTCTGCCGTCACGTTTTCGGACGATTACTACCGGCGAACTCCATGCGCTTTCAGACGGTTCGATTACTCCTTCGCGCAGCATGCTGTCTACTTCGTCGTCGATTACGCGCTACATCGCCGGATACGCGGCCGGTATCTTTGTTTGATTGGAAGCGTGCCTTTTTTCAGGCGGATATGGTGCCGCAGAAGTTCGGTCGGACCCCGAACCTCCGTGAATTTCCGCATTTCATTTTCCAAAAAGTGATGGAGCTTGATGCTTTCGGTTTCGCCGCATTGTCTAGCGGCGGAGACGCGGGCCGGCGTGAGGTCTTTCCTCCTACCGAATTGCGGTGGCATAAGCCTTATATTTGATTTTCCCCACAGATCTACTCCGATGAGCATTTCGCTTTCTAATTCTGGTAGGATGTGGAAGCGATGCTCAATGATTTGTCCTTCGATTCGTACTGGAAGCTCGACGGTGCCTGGTATTTCTGGTGAGCCGTCCGCGAGTTTGGCCTGACTCGCGGTGTCGTCGGGTACGAAACGGAGTTCCTGCATACGGCGTGCAGTATCCCGATTGATGAACGAAATTTTGGATCCGGTATCTACCAACGCGATTATTGATTGATTGCAGATCTTGATTTGGAGGTGCAGTCGTGGCGTGAACGTTACTTGCGGGGCCGGGGTTCGTTCGCGTTTGTCCCGGCCCCGGCGGCTTTTCCCGCCGGAGGGTGACATTCCCGAGTGAAAACTCCATCCCGTCCGCATTGTGAGCAGAATTTGCGCGGCGGGCGCTGACAATTAAAGCGCGTATGTCCGCGTTGCTTGCACCGCTAGCAGTGTTCGGCTCGGTTATATACGGCGGCGGTGATTGGTTTCGTGAGTGCAGGGGCGTCGTGTTTTGCGGTTGTCGTCGTTATTTTTCGTTGCCGTAAGATATCTTCAAAATCCGCCGCTAAGTTTTGGAGTGTCTCGAGATCGGTAGCGTCTTGCCGGCGGATATACATTTTGTACTCGGGATGCATATTTTCGTAAATTTGTTCCACCTGTGCGGCCGTTGTAAACCCCCCGGCGCGACGCATCATGGTTTCTACTTCACTGGCGTACTTATGAAATTTTCGTCGGGTTTTTGTGCGCGACCGGCGATATCTTTCAATAATTGATTGCGGTAACGGCGTGGACAATATTGTGTTCGAAAGGCATCGCAAAATTGTTCCCACGTACTCCACTTGTGTCGCCGATTTCGGTACCACGAGAGTGGTACCGAATCCCCTCTCAATAGTTCTGGTAAACCGAGTATAAGATGCTGACCGTTGTATCCGTACGCGAGACTTAATTCCTCGACTCGCTCTAAAAAAAGCCCACGGGTCCTTGCCATCGAAGTGGTAACCCCATTTTCTAATTTGATTAATGGTTTTCGCGATGACTTGCCCTGAGTCGTTCTCGGTCATTTTGACTACGGACGCGGCGGCTGGTATGTCGGAAGATTTCGCCGCGCTGGCCGCGTTTTCCGCTTTTACTAGCTCTCGTAATCGCTGACGCAAAATTTCTACTGTCCCTTCGGTTTCGGCGTGACGGCGCGTAAGTTCGATTTCTAGCTCTTCTTTTCTAAGACGGTGCACCCAGTCAGTCGTCGGCATTTTCCTCGATATTTTATTTCTCTGTCACGGTCCCTGTTCGGGCGCCATAAAACGTCTCTATCTCCGCGTCGATCGGTTTTGCAGGATAGCGTCGATCGGTTTTTGGTCAGGATTTGGTCAGGTACGAGAAATAAAATATCGTATCTCTTGATATGTCTAGGTTTATATTTACAATGCCGACTGGCTGTTTTTATATGTACAGTATTTACAGGTATTTCGCCGTTGGTACGGCGAAAAGACGCGCGGTTTCTACGTATTATATACAATCGTTTGCTCGCGGTCGGTTCTCCGAATTTCGTCGCGTTCCTCGATAGGCGCGGCGCGGGCGCGACGGTGCGCGGGGATTTCGGCCGTCTTGTTTTGATAAATCAGCTGTGTGTAGTGTTATGACGGATCAGCTGTGTGTAAGGCTATGACGGCTCGAATGCAGGAAGCTCCCTGCTTCTCGATCATCAGAGGAATATGTGCATGTGGGATAAGGGCTTTCTTTGTGGAGCCCAGGTTGAGAAGCTCCTCAACCTGTGAATACTTGTGCGCTGGTGGATTTAGAAGAGCGATCGGCCAGAAGCTCCTGGCACGATAGGTAGCACCCTAGATCGCTTTTTCTGGAGAGGATTCGGAATATCGAGAGCAGTGTCGGACTGGTTACTGTCTCGCCGGAGACAGGTCTCGTTTATCTCTCGGACTCGCTTAATATACCCGAGCCGGCCATCGGTCGGGAGTCGTCGGGAACGGGTCGGCCGGACTCGGGTCGTGGTAGTTCCGGGGGATGTCTTTGTCGGAATCCCCGCGATAATTCGCCGAACGCGCTCGGGAATTCCGCGAGGATGTTCGGTGGCGCCGTCGGTAGCGGGGCCGGCGGTAGTGGCCTTACCGTGTGTCTATTGTTTCACGCGGTGCGCACGTGAAGCCGCGTGATCATCGGTTTGCCGCGTCCGCTGTTCGACGGGCTTTTCGCGACGGTGGGATCGCGGAAGGATCGCCGTGTCGGCGCCCCAATGGTTGATCGGTCGGGGACTTTTAACATTGTTAATAATTGTTAATAATTGAGGGGGATGAGTCGGGTGTCGTTATATATATATATATATATATATATATATATATATATATATATATACTACA